CATTAATATACAATGTTATTCAGTTCCATGGTTTTATATGCCCTCTACACTACGATATATTCCAATTTAAAATACAGACAATTAAGTTCACCAATCATCCTAGAAAAAATGTTACATACCTTATTGGTAAATAACATTATGGACACTAGATAGCCAAGGGGATTACTTCAAAGGTGACCATGGCGATATTCAATAATGAGGTATGTAGCAGTTTTTCTAGGATGAGCTACCACAGTTAATGTTCTCAGAAGTCCAAAAACTTAATTTTGGAGCTTTCAAAATTTAAATATTGAAAAACTGAAGAGAACTCAGCAACAGAGGCTGAGAAAGAACAGCTAGTATGGTAGGTAGAAGGGAAATCAAGAAAATGTAGTGACAGAGTAACCAAGAGAATAATGTTTCATAAAGGGAGGTGGTGGTTCACTCCTGTAATCCCAGAACTTGGGAGGCCAAGGCAGGTAGATTTTCTGAGCTCACAGGTTTGAGACCAACCTGAGCCAGAGCAAGATCCCCATCTCTAAAAAATAGCTGGGCCTTGTGGTGGGCACCTGTAGTCCCAGCTACTTGGGAGACTGAGGCAAGAGAATCACTTGAGCCCAAGATGTTGAGGTTGCTGTGAGCTATGACATCACAGCACTCTACCAAGTGTGACAAAGTGAGATTCTGTCTCAAAATAAATAAATAAATAAATAGGATTAATCCTATCAAATATTGCTAGTGACTTTGTAAATATGAAAGCTATTGGAGAATTTTATTTCCATGGAATGGTAGGAACAATATTCTGGAAAAAGGCTGAGAAAGAATGAAAGCTAATAAATTCCAGTGAGGGGTCTGATATTTAGGATAGGAGAATGAATAATCTTTTTTCTCATTTGTTCTTCTTGAATTATTTATCATAGGTATGCATTCAATTTTTCACTTAGTATCTAGTTTTAAAAGAAGTTGTTAATGGGATACAAGAAAGTGGAGATAATTATGTCAATAATCCTTTCAAAGAGTTTTTCTATATACATGTGATGGGATATAGGGTGATACCTAGAAAAATTTGTGGGGGTATAGATTATTTTATGTGGTAGGAACTACTACTTTGTTTGTATGTTCATGGGAATGATCTCATACATATTTAAGAAAAATTATTATACAGAAGAAAGGAGTTAATAAAAAAAAAGCCATATCCTTAAATAGTAAAAAAAATCTAAAATCCAGTCTTGTGAGTTGAATTATGTTCCCAGAAAAGATATATTAGTTTATAACATTTGGTAGTTGTTAATATAAACTAATTTGAAAATAGAATACTTTTCAGATGTAAACAATTTAAGATGAAGTCTTACTGAATTATGTTGTGTCTTAATCCAATTATTCATGTCGTTCTAAGAACAGGGAGATTTGGACACATATCAAAAAGGGAAAGAATGTCATATGATGACATAGGTAGAGATTGCAGTGATGAATCCATAAGCCAAGCAATGCCAAAGTTTGTCATAAACTGCCAAATGCTAGGATAGAGAGGCACGGGACAGATTCTTTCTCAGAAACTCTAGAAAAAAATCAGTCCTGCTGATACCTTGATTTTAGACTTCTAGGCTTCAGAACTGTGAAACAATACATTTATTATGGGGTAAGCTACCCAGTTTGTGGTAATTTGTTATGGTAGCTTTAGAAAACTAACATACCCTGTTAGAGGAGATAGACTTAAATTGGAGCAAGAAGAGGGCATCTGCTTTAACAGCAGAGAAGACAAAGCATAGAGATAAAGATACATATAGACTAGTATATTTGGTAGTGATGATGGTAAATTTTACCCCTACTTAGTTAATACAGATGTGAGAAGTGTGGAAAAGCAGAACATGTTTATTTTATAGAGTGGGAGAGGTAAAGGTTAGAGAAATATAATTACCAGATACTATTAATGTCCCATTTGAAGTCTATCATTACACAATTAAATTAAAGTTAATTAAATTGGTTCCTATTTTTTTATATATTTTTTTTACTCACATTCTTCTTGGAAGAGTGAAATCATAGAGTAATAGGTGAGTTAAGTTTATTTAAATTAAATTTTTGTTAACAGAGAAGTCAAAAAGAAAACTGGAGTATAGGGATTTGAGGGTGTATGCAAGGGACTAGTTGTACTGGTTCAAAATGAGCATGTAAGAATATAATAAATGGTGGTATATGGATATAATTCCATAATATGGAATATTATGTAGTCTTAAATAAAGATGGAGACTTTACCTCTTTCATGTTTACCTGGATGGAGCTCGAAAATATTCTTCTTAACAAAGTATCTCAAGAATGAAAGAAAGAGTATCCAATGTGCTCAGCCCTACTATGAAACTAATTTATAGCTTTGGCTATAACCCAATTATAGCCCAAGAATATAGGGAAAGAAGAAAGGGAGAGGAGGGAGGGGAAGGATGGGTGGAGGGAGGGTAATTGGTGGGACCACACCTACGGTGCATCTTACAAGAATACACATGAAACTTACTAAATGTAGAATACGAATGTCTTAACACAATAACTAAGAAAATGTCATGAAGGCTATGTTAACCAGTTTGATGAAAATATTTCAAATTGTATATAAAACCAGCACATTGTACCCCATGACTACATTGATGTACACAGCTATGATTTAACAAAATAAATACATAAATAGAATATAAGATGGGTAAAAATTTCTGATGGGTAACATGGACAAGTAAATACATGGGGGAGGAATTGGCAAGGAATATTGGAAAGGTGGTCAGTATTATAAGAGTAGAATTGTGTCAGTGGCAGTATTAGAGGTTCTGAGGTAACAGTTGGAGAGTGAAATGTTTAAAATTAAGCAGGACTTTGGGGCGATATGTATTGGAATAAAATAATAAAGTAAAATATAAGACAAGATAAGTGGATAAGAGAGGGTGAAAGGATTGAAATGTTAAATAGGAGAGATCATCTACATAGTAAAGTCACTAGAAGATCAAACTAAGACAAAAGTACTATTGGAGAAAATAATAGTCAGAAATGAAGGAGAGTGACCTGGGAATGAGATAACGAATATAACAACGACAACAACAACAAAATGATAGCAGGTGATATAATCCAAAGACTTGAGATTCAATGTTGGCTTTTGGGAAGTAGGAAATGAGAATAACCTAGAGATGACATTCAGAAAAAAGCAGACATCTATTGCACTCCTAGGCTCCATGGTAAGAAGGGATGTGGGAAGAAAAACATCACCTGTTGAGAAGGCTTTTGGAAAAGGAATGAATTTGAAACAAAATCAGGTTTTAGATCAAGCAAGAAGGTGGAGGTACCATTTAGATAGATAGAAGTGGAAGGATGTTGCTAATGATGGTGAATTTCAAAGAAATTATGTCCAATGGTTCTGTAATACTGAGGTCTTCATGATTTAAGAGGGAAGATCATATGAAGGCATACTAAAATTAGAAATGTCTTTATAGGAGCAATATTGATCTGAAAAGTTCATTTTGGGGAATTTCATTTTAATTTCTAGACCAAATCATTCTTTTTCTTTCTTTGAAATGGTACTGAATTTTGTTTTTCTAGAAATAATATGCACTCATTGAAAAAATAAGTGTTACAAAAATATATCATTTATACAATTTCAGAATATTAGGGGATATATATGTTTTCTTTACATACTTTGGTTTTGTACAGATTGAGTCAAAGTTATGCATGTAAGTGTGTCCTTCACCTAGATAATGGGCACTGTACCCAATAATTATGAATCTACTCGTCATATCTCAGGAATGTTTCATGTAAAAAGGGGAAATCCCTGTAATTCTTTCTGTGAAATAATTTTTCAGAATTTTAATTACTGTGCCAAAAGTTTTCTAAATTTTCTAATTATTTAGGTTGTGCATCTTTTGGTGCTTACTGTCTGTGATCTTTTTTTTTATACACAGGGTAGCCATACAACTCAACTATTTTCATTCCCAAGTAACTATGTTTTTATTATTTATTTTTGTAATATCTTTATATTACATTGTATCATAAGAAATTTCCAATTTTGGAGTCAAAGTATTTGAATGTTGACAATCTTATATTGTTCAATGTAATACTCATGAATATATACTGGTAGGTTCAAGTCAACATGACCTATATTATTTTAATCATTACAGTAATTTAAGCAATTTTTTTTTTTTTTTTTGTAGAGGCAGAGTCTCAATTTATTTCCCTTGGTAGAGTGCCGTGGCATCACACAGCTCACAACAACCTCCACCTCCTGGGCTTAGGCAATTCTCTTGCCTCAGCCTCCCAAGTAGCTGAGACTACAGGCATCCGCCACAACACCCAGCTATTTTTTTGTTGCTGTTTCGCTGGGGCCAGGTTTGAACCCGCCCCACCCTCGGTATATGGGGCTGGCACCCTACTCACTGAGGCACAGGCACTACCCCTTAAACAATATTTTTAAAGATGAGATTGGCTTTTAAAATAAAAACCAATACTGAAAGATGCAGTGCTAAAGACTGCAGAAATACTTTTATTTAATTCCATACAAATAATGTCTTATCTTACACTTTAATGACTCCCTTGAAAATAAGCTCATTACACTTTTCCTTATTGTACATAATAGTATCATCCTTTTTAGAATTATCTAATTTCCCTTACATCTAAAATTAAGTATACTAAACCAGTATAGAAAAGTCTTATCTCATTTTATCCTGCTTTAAACCTTATAGATTCTTCACAGAAATTGATTCCTTCCACTCTCTCTAAATTATGATGTAATTATAAGAAACTGATCCTTAGTGAAGTAAAATGTTCATGATGATAAATCTATCTTGTGAAAGAATCAGAACTATCTTAAATTCAAAGTAAAGTACCTATGATACTGATAGGAATTTTATATCTCTGTTTATAATACAAATTTTTAACTATAAATAAAATGACTATGAGAGAAACATTCTTTACACTTAAATGTATAAACATATAAACAAACTGAGCATGATAGTCATGAAAAATACTAAAAAAGTATTAAAAAGAGGACTCACAACCGTGGAAGAGACATTTCCCCTGCCTATATGTTGCCAGGACTTTAGCATTGTAAGTTCAAACTGGTGCTGTTCAGTGATGACCTCATAAAGAGACTATGAACAGTAGACATTTAAAGGGAAAAGGCAGAGTATTTTAAAGTGCTTGAGTACTTCTGAATATCATTTTAAGATTTTGAGTGTATTTACACACAACTGTTTAACATTTGAACCAAGAGAATCAGTGACTTAATCTACTGATTTGATTTAATAAATATCTATGTGTTATTAGTCTATTTTATCAGTACTTTTGAGTGTAAGTAAATGTACACAGGTGTGTGTGTATGTGTGTGTTTGTGAAAGATATATATGAAAAGAATGAAAAATAGAAAAATAGAAACATTCCTCTACAAGGAGAAGGTGTAATTTAGTACATTTTCTTTACTTTCAGGCTTTTTTCCCTAAAATATTTTCATATGTTTATATCAATAATTTCAACAAATAATTGGAAATAAGTGACTTGTCCTTAGACTTGTAAATACACGAAGGTAAAATGTCTGTGAAAATGATGCTGAAAAGTCTAAAAATTATTTTTTCCCAAACCTAAAAACAACTGTTGTTGTTTGCACAAAGTTCAGTTAAAAGAAGTTATCAATTGATAATTGTTTCTACTTTGTAGGAAATTAGTAAATATGAGTTTTTCATTATAGAAATGAAAACTCTTAGGGAAGATAGACGATAGATATATATATGGGGAAATTATACTTATACATATTGTATATAACAGTGGACATCTTTCTAGACCAGGGAGAAGAAGCAGTTCATTGGTTACTACTGTTGAAAACCATGTTTTGTCATTAAATTTTTCTTTATTTTCATTTTGAAATTTTATATTTTTATATAATTCTAGTCATATTTTATTTTATAAAATGGAAGAAGACAATGGTTAAAATATAGAATAGTTTCAGTGGAGCAGATGAATGCAATATAATATTTCATAACCGTTCCACTGGCCAAACAAAATTCACAGATTAGTCAAATAGCATTTCCTTTTGTAGGAAAGTAATGTAAAGTCATTCAGTTTGGAACTCAAAATTGAACCTCAATTATACACCTTAAAGGAATATGAATTATGTATTAAAAACCATGAAAATGTCATGTCATTCTTCTGACCCATTAATACCACTCCTAGTAATGCATCCTAAGTAAATTAGTATTTTAGCATGAAAGTATTCATTATAGTTTTATATAAAATATTAAAATCTGGAAACATTCTAAATGTTCAATATTGAGGAATGGTAAATTACTAAAGTAAATATCCATGAAGGCTGGGATTGTGTCTATTCTGTACATCACTATCTCTCTAGCATTTGCATAAAAATAGGAGAATAAGACTACACATACAGTTTGATGTGTACTATATAAAGCAAATAGGCTTATTGTGAAAAGAATGAATGCAATTGCAACAAAATGCTAATATGATATTATAAGTAATTTTATTTTCTATATATCTTGTTTTGCATTTAAAATTTTCTGCAAGTGGAATGACATCAGCAAATGGCGGAACAGATAATGTCAGGTTTCAATTCCTTCTGCAAAAAGATCAACTAGCATCCATTCACAAACAAAAACATCATAATGATGACAACAAATGGTAGTAATAAGAATGAGTCACATGCATAATTCTTAGAACTCTATAAAATTTTGCACTGAAAAGGTAGGACAAATGATTTTGCTTTGACAGCACCACACACAGAAAATTCTCTAGAGACCATGCTTTCTATAGTGGGAAACAAGAACAAGGGAGGTAGACATCTAGATTTCCTAGCATTCTAAGACATTTCCCAGTATGTCCACACAGATCTCATCTTGTTGGGAATGGGGAGTGTAGGGGACACTGCATGAGTACACCAATTTCACTCAGATATAAAGCAAGAAGGCAAAGATGACCCAGACCAGTATATGAATTTGAGTGATAGCTCAGTGAAACTATCAGCAGCAGTGCTCTATCAGAGGTAAACACTAGCAAGATAACCCACGAAGAAAACCAATCTGGACACTCCCAGAAGAAGTGAGAACTGCTACCTAGTTTGAGTCCTAGCTTCCAGGTCCATTCTCAGACATTGCCCTGAGGTCCCAACCGATAAGGAAATGATCACAAAACTAAATTTCAACAAAATACAAGCACTATTCCCCACATTCAAAGTTTAATATGTGCTCCCAACAACCTTAAATTCATCCCCAGATTCAAACCAAGTTAAGAGGCAAATCTAAACTGTGCACTTCTAATGAGATTCTATCTTAATGTACTTAAACCATCACACAATACAGACAAATTTCACTAATTAATATTAAAGCAAAAATATTCAATAAAATCCTATCGAATTGCATACAGCTACACAATAAAAAAAATACATCATGATCAGGTGTACTTTATCCCAGGGATGAAAGTTAGGTGCACCACATACAAATCCATAAATGCAAACAAAAAACAAAACCTATATGATCCTCTAGATAGATGCACAAAAAGCATTTGACAAAATTAAGCATCCTTTTTCTGACAAGAACACATAAGAAAATAGCCCTGGATAATAAGATCTTATGCTGAGAAAAACCCAGAGACTCAACCTTGAGACTCCTGGAGGTGATCAAGAAATACAAGGGTACATGTGAAACTTACTAAATGTAGAATATAAATGTCTTAACACAATAACTAAGAAAAAAAATTTACAAAGGATGTCCTTTAATATAGCCTTTTCTGAATATGAGAAAGTTTGCCACTTATAAATGGTGGATTACTTTAATTTATCCCAGCAGTATTGTAATAAAATATAATTTATATTTTTAAAAAAAGAAATACAGCAATGTCTCAGGATATAAAATCAATGTCCACATATCAGCAGCCTTCATATATATATCAATAACATTCAAGGTGAGAATCAAATAAAGGAAATAATTCCCTTCACAATAGTTTGAAATAAAAATAAATACCTTGGAATATACCTTACAAAAGATGTAAAGGACATCTACAGAGAGCACAATTAAATCCTGAGGGGGAAAAAAATGCAAAAGATGTTAACAAGTGGAAAGACATACCATGCTCATGCCTGGGAATAATGAATATCACTACAACATCTATACTACCAAAGCCATCCACAGATTTAATGCAATATTTTCAGTAAACAGTATTGGAAAAACCTAATATCCACATGCAAAAGAACGAAATTTAAGCCTTACTTCACCGGATATACAAAAATCAACTCAAAATGAATTGCAGACTTTAATGTATGACCTTAAATTTAAAAAGCACTAGAAGAAACCACAGACAAAAAAATGTGGCATTGGTTCTTGTTTGAAAATAGGAAAGAGGTGACACATTTTGGGAGGACAGGACACAATTATAAGAGGGACTTTACCTGACAAATGCAGTCAATGTAACCTGGTTCTATGTACCCTCAATGAATCCCCAATAATAAAAAAAAAAAAATGGGAAAGAGCTGTGAATAGATCTGAATTTCTCTAAAGGCAGCATATAAATGGCTAGTTGATATAAGACAAGATTGTCATCATGACTAGTAATTTGGAAGATGCACATTAAACTCACAATGAGATACCATTTCACATCTGTTCTAATGGCCATGACTAAAAAGATTAAAGACAATAAATGATACTGAGGATGTGGAGAAAAGGGATCCTCCCAATCTTGGTCAGAATGTAAAGTAGTACAACCATTATGGAAAGTTGAATTGAAGTTTTTCATAAAACTAAAAATAGAATTACCATATGATCTAGTAAATCTACTTCTGGGTATTTACCAGGAAGAATGGAAATTATTATGTCAAAGAATTGTCTACCTTCCTGTGTTCACTGAAGCACTATCCATAAAAACCAAGTTACAGAATTGGCTAAATTTAATATCTTCCTTTTTGAAGCCTGGATATGATCTCTTTGTGTATATAGGTTATATTTTCTTTTCTCTTAGTCTGTTGATTAAGTGCCCATCAACAGACCAAGAGAAAAAAATATGTAATCTATATACACAAAGAGATCATATCCAGGCTTCAAAAAGGGAGAAATTCTGTGCTTTGTAACAACATGGATGGAATTCAATTAGCATTAGCACTAACTGAAGTTGCTCAAATACAGAAAGACAAATACCACATGTTCTCAATTATAAGTGTAATCTAAAACAATTAAACTTTTAAAAGCAGAGAGTAGGAGAAAGGTTAACTGAGACTATAGGTTAAGCTGAATGGGGAAAGGGTAGTAAAAGAATACAAAGCCTCACAATTAAATGAATTTAATATTTTTTTGTGTGTTATATTTCACAGTGTCATAAGTATAGCTAGTAATAACTGAGAACTGTATCTTTCAAAATCCCCAAAAGGAAAATTTCAAATTTCTCATTACAAAAAAAGTGAAGTATGGAGGTGGGGCTTCAAGATTAGAAATATCTCATCAATTGCTCTCTGTAAATTCAGGGAAAGGAGTTTCAAGCTACTACCTTCTGGATTGTCTTGTACAGAAACAGCTTTGGGAAGGCACAGTCAGACAGCATGGGACGCCCGGAACAAAAAAGATGAGAAGTAGGGAGGCCTGCCCAGAAAGCAGATGCAAGGGAGCTCAGCAACCCACGGACTGAATCTACATGTAGAGTAAGGGATTAAGTATTCCAGATAACCTCCTCCACCCCTCATGGCACTCTGTCCGAATGTATGGGGATCAAACTGAACTCTTGGAGGGCCTTTCCCTCCAGGCTGGGGTGAGGTGTGAAATAGGCAGGAACTGAGGTACCACAGGTTTCTGTAGTGCACACAGAGAATGCACTCAGCTTTTTTGGGACTGAGCCAGAATTGCATGCAGAAGCAGTGCTGGCTGAGTTAATACAGTGAGCATGCTCAACAGTAGGAACCTTTGCTTCGTAGAACCCCAACTACATTAAGAGAGCTTTAGGAAAGGAGTGGAGATTATGAAACCTTTAGGCAGCTGACATCCACAGAGGATCAGTTTGGAGCAACTTTTCAGGGTGCCAAACTACTAGACGATAAGACAGCTATCTCTGGGCTTAGTCCTACAGAGATTCAGACTACTAGAT